ATCTGCACACTGCCCTGGTGAGATGCAAACGCAGCCCTGGTGACATCTGTACACAGCCTGGTGAAATGCAAACGCAGCCCTGGTGACAAATGTATGCAGCCGGTTGAGACGCAAATGCAGCCCTGGTGACATCTGTAGGCAGCCTGATGAGATGCAAACGCAGCCCTGGTGCCATCTGTACGTAGCCTGGTGAGATCTGTACGCAGCCCTGGTGAGACGCAAATGCACCCCTGGTGAGATCTGTGCACAGCCTTGGTGACATCTGTATGCAGCCCTGGTGACATCTGTATGCAGCCCTGGTGACATCTGTTTGCAGCCTGGTGAGATGCAAATGCAGCCCTGGTGAGACGCAAATGCAGCCCTGGTGAGATCTGTACGCAGCCTGCTGAGAAAAAGTATCGGCAAGTACCTGAGGGAAAGTACTTGTACTTGGCTCGGTCAGAGGAAAATTTGTTCTGAAAGTCAGTGCCGTAGAGGGACATGGAGCCGGCTTCTTGGGCAATCGGGAAGCCGGGTGGTGAGTAATAACCTGCATCCCGGCTTTCCGATTGGCTGGGAAACCGGCTTCCTCGCCAATCAGCCGACTCCTTGCTGATTGGTCGGGAAGCCGGCTAGATGCGGATTGGCTGGGAAGCCGGTTTCCTGGCCAATCACAATCGAGCCAGCCAAACAACATGCAGCTTGCTTCCTGGGCAATCAGGAAGCTGGGCAGCACGTCATTACATGCCGCCTGGCTTCCTGATTGCCCGGAAAGCCGGCTCCATGCCAGCGGAAACACTTGTATCGATACTCGGTATTGTGAAGTACCGAAAGCAAAATATTGGTAAGCGATACCGAAAAACAGGTATCGGTGCATCCCTAGTTTTTAGATTTGCAAATGATTGCATTCTGTTTTTATGTAGATTTTACTCAGCGTCCCAGCTTTTTTGGAATTGGAGTTGTACATCATTGATAAATAGGCACATTTTGCTAGTACGCAGACCTTTTATAAACCCTAAAAAACACGTGTAGCTTGTCTAGCCACTTCAGCTAGTGGTTCCACGTCAAGAATACATATTAGTTATAACGGGCATCCTTGTTCATTGGTATTAGTTTTAAGGGATTATTTACAGAATATTTAACCCCTTCGTGACGGGAGACATACACTGTATGTCCCGCCACAAAGGGACCAAATGACTCGTCACGTACACTGTAGGTGACGAGTTATTTGCTGCATTAGAGGGCTGGTAACCGATGAGAATCAGCGGTTACCATTCATTAATGGATGCCTCAGTATAGAGTCATTCATTAATGAAAGGGTTAACCTTTTTCAGACACCTGATACCTTAATATCGGGTGTCAGAGAGTTGAAGCAGAGGGGCAAACATGCCGGCAAAAGCTGGCATTCTGACAGCTCGTATAGATCTAGAGATATCTCTCTCGGATCGTATACTGGCTTTTTTTTTTCTTTCACTTTCAGGAATAGATACATAATGTATCTATTCCTGAAAGAAGAATGTTTCAGTTTTCCGATCGTTGTTGGAACGTTCAGAAAACCTTTAGTGACAGCTGAATCCTGAACTGCTGCAGGATCAGTGTCACTAACTTATTATTGGCTGTTCTGAAGTTTGAAGCAGCCTAATAATAACCAAAAATGTATTAATTTATCTAGCAGTAATAGTGAGATTAATTCACAATGACTGCTTGATATAATTAAATACATAAAATACAAAATGTAAAAATGTTAAAAAAATAGTGTTTTTTTTTACGTTTTTCACATATTTTATTTGTCCTAAGTGAGGAGTTAGACACACATATGTGATATAAATATGTAGCCCTATCTGTCCTCTAATAAACAATATATAATATGTGTGGGTGCACTTTGTAAGAAAGTATATTACTGACGTGGAAGAATCACAAAGCAAAAATGTCAAAAGTGTGTCAGTCATTTACGAACAGAAACTAAAAACAAGCTCAGTCATGAAGGGGTTAAGGCAGTAGAATCCTTGCTGAGGATATGAAATACAGAAAGTGGATAGCAGATAGTATCTAACCAGAAAAAAATATATACCTTACAAACATACAAACAATGGATTTGATTAAACACCTTTCCTGCCTTTGACGAAGCTGACCTGATCTGGATAAATAAGATCTGGGGAGTACATTTAGATAAAGGAGGTATATCAACTGTAGGCAAAACATTGATGTTGGCATGGGTAATTTCCTCACAGGGTATATAATAGGAGGGCTCTTAGCAGGGTGATGTAATAAGGTAGTTTAATGTCAGTAGTGGTTTTGCCTTGGTTGTTTTTTTGGTAAGCAAACCCCATTCATGCACAATTTTATGGTTCCCCATTGCTTTACATATTGGAAGAAGTATAATCCTATATTGAATTTATTTGTGAGAAATCTACATAAAGGGATATCAACCTGTGAGGGTCTAGTAGTTTTTTTTTTTTTGCTGTGGTCATAGCCTGTTCTGTAACGAGAAAGAAATGTATTCTGGCTAAGACATCCCCGGAAATGTTGTCAGATAAAAAGTTTGGTTTCAGGAACCTGTATGCACAGCCAGTGGTTCGGTCTTGTGGATTTGCTCAGTGTATGAAGGCTTTCAGCAATTTTTGGAGAAATGCGCTCAGTTCGATTTGTGACACTGGTGTGGATTGGCCTTTAATGTGTTCTTAGACACTGCTTATTCTGTCTCAGGAAAACTGTTAATCAAGGCTTGTAGGTCTGTGAAGATCAGCAGCCGAGCTTTAATTTGTGATCAGGCTCCTTGTTGTCTGCTCCGTCTCTCACCTTTTTTTCTGTTTAGTCTTAACTGAACTGGAAACTGTATGTGTATCCAGGTTAGAGGACTTGCGTGAAAAGCTGTCAAATGCACAGGATGGGCTACTGTATGCAAAAGAGTCTAAACACAGTCTACAGGTAGAGCTGGTTTGAGCTGGAGAGCTGCATGTGCTCAGGGCTGAGCCAAATCGGGGGGCTATTGGGGGAAAGAAGTCCATGAGCTGTTGTGACTTCGCTAATCTTCTCTCAGACATGTCGAGTGCTTAGTCTGAGTAAGAAGGAACAGATAGGGAATCGTTGCTGTGGAATTGCTTTTGAGGCTTTGTAGAATCTAAGCTATTGCACAGCCACCGTGGATACAGCCCAGAGATGCCCTTCAACCTTACCTTTTTAGTATGGTTGACTTTTGCCCAATTTCATTCCCTTTACATATATGTTTCAGTTAAAGTGTATGTAAACCAGATCAATGCACTTTCATTATTTGTTCCCCTTAATATACTATTTAATAGCATTTTTATATCTGTCTGTTAAAGCAGGAATAAAGTCATGCTTCCTGACCTGTAGTGACAATGTCTCCATTTCAGAGACATGATGTAATTGATCATTAGCCCCTGTTTGTTAGATTTGTTTAATTAAGCATGGGGGCTATCTTATGGTTTTAAACTGGAAATATGTCTATTACTTTGTTAGTTTCATTCTCTAAATAGCTTATTGTATTACTTGATTTCTTTCAAAAGGAATGTTTGAAACTCAAAAATAAAAAAAATTCTGTTGACACGCTTAAAATGATGATCTAACAAATATTTTTGTAAACGTTCTAAAGGGCCAAAGACTTTGCACAGTATTGTACATATTATAAATATCAACTGTAGTTTTAAAGCTTAAAAAATTGTAAATATAAAATTGACCCAATACTCCTCATAATTTACCTTTTAAAGTGGAAGTACAGTCTTAAAAGATTGCTAGAAGGTAGAGATTTTGCACTGGCTGTGGCACATGCACAGTATAATGTGGAAAATGTAGTCAAGTGCCAGAATAATGTAACTTAAAGCCACACTGCAGGCAGAGTGATAATTTACATACTGCATGGGGTGTGTAAATGCTCATTAAAAAACTGTGTGTTGTGTGCAAAGGGCTGCAGCAAAGTCAAAAAAATTATAAAAAAAATAAAAACTTGCTGCATTCCATCCCCTGCACACAAAGCCGAGCTTCCGGCCACTGAAGAGAGGGAGAGCTAGATCCACAACTGTATAGTGCTGCAGGTGCATCACCCGCCCCTCCTCACTATCCTCCATTCACAAAATGTCTTGTATTTTTTTTTTTAAGAATACAAGTCGTTCAGTATTTGGAGGAGGAGAGATGATGCCACATCCCCGCCCCCTCCTCATTCTCTCTCATGATGCGATCGAAGCACTGTACAGCTCGGGACACATTGCTCCCTCTACGAGTGCCTCGAAGCTGGGTGTTCTGTGGGATGGTGTGCTACAATGTAAGATTTTTCTACTTTGCAACAGCCCCCTGCACATAACACACAGCTTTTTAATTATGATTTACACATCCAGTGCATTGTGTAAATTATCATTGTGTCTCTTTAAAAGGGTGTGACTGATCACGGGATTGCACTGAAAGTTTTTTACACTGTAGATGGCCAATAGAGAGGAAGTGGTGGAAAGAGTAAGGAGGAGAAATGACTACAAAATACAGGATCTCCCCAGTGGCAAAAAACTAACTAAAGAATTATCCTCAATATAAAATTGAAACTGTCCTGAAAAAATGAAACTCCGCTTTTATATTAATAAAGGAGGAGGGAATGATTGAGGTTAATCTTAATGTATTCTTGCTGAAAATTCAGACTCTACCTCTCACTGCAGCTGTTAACTATTCATCCAAAGCTTTAGGTGGATTTACCATTTTAGGTGCTTGTGGTCAAGCAAAACCCTCACCTGCTGCCTATAGGGAGCTGTCTGCATATGCTGTTGGCTGTTTTGCCAACAGCATATGCACGCAGTGTGGTGCAAAGAATTAGAATGAGGGCATGTCATGTTTGCAGAGTGCAAAGTGATGCAGATGCGACATGGGCAACCATTTTAGAGTCTGCATGTATGAGCCCTAAAACACACATATAATGCTATTGAATACTGGGACAGGTTTGATTGTTAATACATTATATACATGAGTATTGTGCTTTTTGGTACTAATATAGGGATTTTTGTTTTTCTTTGTGTTTTCAGAGGAACCTGACAGAATATTTTGTGGCTGTAGATGTGAATAATATGCTGCACCTTTATGCCAGTATGCTGTATGAACGCAGGATCCTTATTTGTTGCAGCAAGCTCAGCACGGTGAGTAACTATATGACCTACTAAGCCCTACCTAGAGATGGGGATAGTATTGTGCCATTACTATCTCTAACTGTGTATATAAATAACAGACAGTGTGCAGACACTGACTGAAAAATTGTGATACCCAGGTCATGACAACAGATTAATCAATGAGCAGCTCTGTATGTTATCGGGGCCGTCCATTAGCTGTCATGCCCAAACCTGTAAATGGCCATGACAGATATGTTTACAGTACATTCTTTAAAGCATTCCATATAGAATGTCTGATTTCACTTACAGTGCATTTCCACTTTTGTAGTCAAATTTCAGAAAACCCAGCTGTATGTTTGCTATGTGTTCCAATTCATGCAGCATACGTATATATAAATCTATATAGATATATAGATCTATATATATTTCTTACATTTCAGATGTTTTGTTGCAGCAGGCAACATGTTCAATCCCAAGTTTTTCTGAGCACTTTAGAAGGTTTTTAATCCTTTAACATCTCACAGCCTCTCCTAACATTACAAAGAAGTCAACATTTTAACCCTCAAGAGGCCAGTAATTCCTAACCCAAGTAAAAGCAATTTAAACTGCAAGAAAATATTTTTTTTGGGGCTTACGCTATGTAAATGGGAGCATGTAACAAATATAAAATAGGTGTTGTCCCAATTTGACTGTGAAAGTGGAAGTACACTTTGTTATTGAAGGAATGCTAATGACATTGTTATGATATTTGTTTCACCATTGGAGATTTTTGCCAGTGGATGCTTCAACCAGTGACCAGCAGCCAACAGTGAAAATGCAGTTTTAATTCATATTAACCACTTTGGTTTAACAAACACAGGATTTTAATTGGACCCTATTTTGGTTTTGCTTTTGTGTACTAGAGGACTATATTTTTAAATGTACATATACCCGTACACATGCACATGTAATGCTACATATGATCCTGCTCTAATAATGCCTGGCAGCTGCATTCAATCTGCATAGCAAAGCCAAGCATTAATGAGAATGCCTATTCGTGTATGGTGCTACCTGTTCTCGTGTTTGTCAAGTTTCTTGACTGGATGGGATAGTTACAGACATTATTGTGTGCCCAATTTACTGTTTACCTTACATAAAACTTTTACAGTCCTTAAGCTGCGCTTTAGCTGCATTCTCCCACTTAATCATTTTTTCTGTGTTATCAGCTGCTAAAAGGCCTGTGGTGTTTAATATACACTCAGGACCACTTCTGAGTTGTTGTTTTTTTTTTTCATCAGACACCCTTTATCTGAGCTGTGTTATTACATAAAGCAATCCTTAAACACAGACGGGGGGATATATCAAAACTGGAGCAGACAGAATCTGGAGCATTTGCCCATGGCAACCAATCAGCTTCTCTCTTCAGGTTGTTCAATTAAGATTTTAAAATGAGAGATCGAAGCTGATTGGTTGTCATGAAAATCTGCTCCAGATTTTGCCTGCTCCAATTTTGATAAATTTCCCTCAGAGTATTTCATAATAGTAGCACTTGCTCTTGGTCACCTTACAGCTTAGAACTTAAACTGTCATTCTGACCACCCTTATGTTTTAAGATCCACTCCTAAAATCTTTGTGTGTTTTAGTATTTGCAATATTTTCATGTCAAATTACTTTTTATGTGTTTGTGTAATTAAAGTGAACTTATCACACAAAAACTTAATTGACCAAGAAGTCCTTCCTCTTTTTCTAGAGACTTATTTGCATATATTTTCAAGGAAGCGTTACTTGATGTCTCACTGCTTGTACCTCAGTGACTGTAAATTGAAAAGGTTAACAACAAGTAACATGTAACATTTAGGATATTCAAAAATTGTGCGTGTTTGCAGACAATGTGGAGATAGAAATGTTTGCAAAAAATGCAAGAATTGTGTTGTTTAATGGGATGGTATATTCTCATTAAATTGTGCCTCCTTATTGGTAGCTTCATTCACACAAACTGCATATAAGAAACTATAGAACTTAATACATAATGGGCCTCATGATAGAAACAGAAAGAACTGCCCCTCAATAACCAATTAGAGCTTCCTTTTTATTATAATTGCAGGTTAGCTGTCGAAAGGAAGATGCTGGTTGGATGATTTGGGCAACAGACATTGCTTTTGGACAGAATCGTTCATAATGCCAAGTAAATTTAAAATAGAATTGTGACCAGGCTACTGACATTCAAATATTTACATATTCTTAACAAACAGTTAATAAGCTTAAAATAAGTCCTCACACTATGGTACAATTCATGTTGAAAATTCGTAAAAAAGAAGCATGAAGCAAGAAGTCATCTTTAAAATTCATAATAGAAGCATGACAACTTTAAGTTGGGTTTTAGCACTTTTTTTTTGCACCCCCCCCTCCCTTTCTACCAGGCATGTATATTCATCTAGGTAGAAGGAGACATAATGTCCCTGGTAAATGGGTCTGCAGTCAAGTAGCAGTAGGCATTATACAGAGGCAGATGACTCTGCTGCAAGACACCAGTACTACACTACATGGTGTTTCTGCTCCACTGAGTCATTTCTGCTCCACTGAGTCATTTCTGCGTACATTATCTAGACACTTTCCTACTATGTAAGGTTTTTTGTGGCAGTTACACCTCATATGGCAGATCAGAGGCTATGTGGTTCCTCAACCACTAATGGATCACAGGATGTCTGTACTGTCCCCCCAAGGGGACAGGGTTTCTTGTTTGACTCAGAAAAAGAGGACACAATCTCCAACAATTAAGTATTTTGCTCCTATTGTCAAGAAAAGTTATTTTTGCCACCCTCAGGAGCCAAGTCCAGGATGAACACTCAGTTCTGCCGTAAGGCCTAGTCGCAAAACCCACAAAATCTGAGAGCAAAGCCCTCTTTGCAATGAAGGGGCACCCTACTTGTAAGATGGGGGATGTCTATCAGCTTTGTGACCACCTGGTCCTAGAAAATCTCAGGAGTTTGGGTCCAGAATGTCCAGTGGCTACTAACTAAAATTCCATCCCCTCCTGACTTCATGTGTTTGAATTTTACAACCTCCTCTCTAAGGTGGGCAGATCTTCTCACTGGGGCCATCTCCCCTTTTTTTCTCTCTGGACTTCTCGTCAGTCCACAGAGTATTTTCCCAAAAGTCTTGGGGATCATCAAGATGTTTTCTGGCATAACAAAGACGAGCTTGTATGTTCTTTTTGCTCAGCAGCGGATTTCGTCTTGGAACTCTGCCATGCAGGCCAATTTTGCCCAGTCTCTTTCTTATGGTGGAGTCATGAACACTGACCTGAACTGAGGCAAGTGAGGCCTGCAGTTCTTTGGATGTTGTTGTGGGGTCTTTTGTGACCTCTTGGATGAGTCGTCGCTGCACTCTTGGAGTAATTTTGGTTGGCCCACTCCTGGGAAGGTTCAATACTGTTCCATGTTTTCACCATTTGTGGATAATGGCTCTCACTGTGGTTCGCCCAAAGCTTTAGAAATGGCTTTATAACCTTTTCCAGACTGATAGATCTCAATTACTTTCTTTCTCATTTGTTCCTATATTTATTTGGATCTCAACATGATGTGTAGCTTTTGAGGATCTTTTGGTCTACTTCACTTTGTCAATCACTTCACTATTTAAGTGATTTCTTGATTGCGAACAGGTGTGGCTAGAGAAATTGAACTCAGGTGTGATAAACCATTTATTTTATTTCATATTAATTTTACAAACTGTATCTTTATTTTTAACTTGAATTGCTATCACATAGGGGGGCTTATAAGCCCCCCATGTGATAGCAGATGGGGGTGACAGGTACTCTTTAAGGTGATGCAGGGGGTCCAAAAGACCCCCAGTGTCACCTTTACACTCCAAATAAGCTTCACTTCAATAGCTTATAGCTGAGCTTCAGGAGCCCAGCACTGACAGCTATGGGACTGGGGGGGGGTGACCCCTTCACCGGCCCATAGAAGCGATCTGGCGACAGCTGAGTCACCAGAATCGCTTCTACTGGAAAGCCGGCAGTTGGCTATACAAGTTTGAAAAGAGTTTTTGCCGTCGGTAATCTGTTTAAACAGCCCCGATGCCAGCGACGTAGGTTGGTCGTGAAGGGGTTAAATGAGCTGTAAGGGTACTGCCAAATTTTGTCATATCTGCATTCTTGCAGAGACTTGTAATGGTCATAGACAAAAGTAAAAATATCTTCCCAGCAATAAAGATTATGGTGATATCTGTCAGTCCTTGAATAAGTGGTATGTTGCTGAAACCCACCTTGCTTTGCTCCTGCTAGTGGCACATATACAGTACTTTCACCCTCTCCTCCGCAGCATGCCTGACAAAGAGATTGGGCCCGCTCACAGGAAGATTTTTCAAGAAGAAATGTTCAAAATCAGTAATTATTGGTCTGCCTGAATGTGATGGTAAATTATATTCTACCCTACTGTCATGTAATCTATAGGTGTAGTCTATAGAGGGTTTTGTAGCTATCACCAGGCACAACACAGATTTCACAGATTTTCAATTTTGAAATACTGCGTTATCAGTTGGCTGAATAACCCCCTGATCTTGAAAAACAGGAGTGAAGCTGGAGATTACATTTTATAAAGCCTTATTGTGCATTTAATACTTCATCAGAAAAACATGTTTTACTTAATCAGCCTCATTCTACTGTCCAAAAAGAAAATCGGTCAATACACATTAACAGCTCAAAGAATAAGAAATGACTCTTCTCCCGGAGATGGAAACGCACGATCTTATCGACTAGTAGATCTTGAAATGCAGAGCTGTGAACTTTGAACAGAATAAAGCTGGGTTTTTTGGTATTGATGTGCTGCCATTTTAAAGGAAATAGCACTTTTGGGTTTTCAGCATCTTTTATCTGTCAGAGGCTTGATGGAACCTAAGTGGCATTAAGCTCCCTTCTTATCAAACAACCTGTCTGGAAGTGCTGTTCCGGTGAAGATTTGGTTTCATCAGCACAGTGAGAATGTGCTTTAATTTCTTTCCTTTATCTTAGCAACACATCATCCACACATTACACCAGGCTACATCACTAG